AAAAAAAAATTTATTTATATATATTAAAATTTAAAAAAATAGATTATAACCATATTTGTGATAATTTTTCAAGCAAATTTGCCTGGAAGAGTCTACAGTTTAAGGGATAATCTAAAATATTATTAAATTATTGGTTTAAATAAAATATTTTAGATTATTTATATAAAAATATAATAATTTAAAAAAAAAATCTAGTTGTTGCTAGTTGTAATATAGTGATAGTTATAATTACCAATCATATCATATAATAAAATTAAAACAAATACTAAAGTTAATTATTATTAGGGTCAAGGTTAAAGTTGAGTTAGGGTTGGAATAAGGTATAATATATAGTAAAATTTTGCAAAAATTTTTTTTAATTAAAATACTAAAGTGGTTTTATAGATGAAATTTTGAGCTATAGTGAATTTTTGAAAATTTTTTATATTTTCTTTATTTTCAAGTTATATAAATATTACACCTAATCCTGTGGCATGATTGGCTAATTGCTACTATTACTATATCACTGCTAGCAACAAATAGATTCATTTTAATTTAAATAACTTAATAACAAATACAGTAATTTTTTTAAAAAAAACTGCTATATATAGTAGGTAACAAAAATAATACCCAGTTTTTTAATAAAACAAAAATTTCAATTTATTTTATTTTTGTATTTGTATATAAAAATTTTTTTATATTTAACTAACACACTATTAAATATACTTGAATATTCAATACTAACATGATTCTTTGTGATATTAAACTACAATTACCTAAGAACAAACATGTTAAAATTCATTTACCCCTTCTTTAAAACAACTCTGAGACTGTTTCTGTTTATTAAAAGATTCTCAAACTTTTAGATATTGTTTCTCAATGGGTTTAAATGTTTTAATAAGTTTAGGTTAAGGAAACTTTGTTATTTATATCATAATTTGATTTTTCTGCTTTAAGCCATTTTATAACTTTTTTTATAATACAAATATGATAGTTATTTTAATTAATGAAGAATATAAGTATAAAACAGGACAAAATAGTTTTCAAAAACCTTAATATAAAAACTTTTATTAATTATTTATTTTAATTTTAAATATTTATTAAAAGAATATTAATTATACCCACAAAAATTCTCATACCATTACCCATACCTATATGCCCCTAAAATTTGTATCCAATACTCATTTTCACATCTTTTCATTATATGATACTATACTCTAACTTACCAGATTTGTTTTGCCTACTTCTTTTTTTGTTTGTCAAAAAAATAACCCATTTTTGCTCATATAGTTAATCTATTTTTTTTTTTACTTACACTAAATTTTGCATTTGGTTATATTACTATTTGTTAAATACAGCCTTTTTATTGCTATATAAAACTTTATCACAAAGCTATACAAAACTCTAGTTATGACCAACAAATCATGCTAACCCCCAAATCATTAACAGAGCTGCACAATACTTGTGCTACTCTTTCAATGCTTTTTTTGCTAGTACAATATTTCTTTGCTTTTTTAAGACCAGAAAATGACTAAATAATAATAAAATATTTATTTTTTTAGCTCTCTCATGTTTGTTAATAAACTGTCAACTCGTTATGAGGCCATGACCCATTTATCATGCAACTTACTAGGCGGTTATATTTTGGTACAAATGAGGATAAAACCTTCATTTTTATTAGTTACTAGGAAGGTGGCACCTTGTGGTGACATGCGGTTATTTTTTTTTATCCCGTTGTTTATTCAGAAGTCAAGAAAGAAGATAAAAAAAAAAAATTGCTTAGGGAATCGTCAGAAGGGGGCCTCTTTATTTGTTCACATGATGTGCAGATCGGGAGTTACTTTTGCCGCCTACTGTACGTACGTACGTACGTACATATTTTGTGATACATAAATCACCTTAGCAACAAATGTTTTTTTAATAATGTAGCATGAACTATTAGCTTTTAAAAACTAGCTATATATATTCTTTTATTGTTTCTAAGTGTCCTGCACTGTAAAACCTTTTGAGAACAAAGAAATTTACTTTGTATGGTCTGATTATCAATATCAGGTTTATATATACATTTTAAACAGGGTTGGCAATCTCATGCTCCATTGGGAAATTTCACCCACTCCAGTCAATTGTTCCATTGTTCCATTTAATATTAAATCTTAGTGGTCTTTTTCGCTTTTTGATAGCTGCCCAAGTGCATCAAGGATCTTTTTCGATATTTAACAGCTACTCTACCTTGTTTAGTGCGTCGAAATGTATCGGCATAAGGAGAGCTTCTTCCTGCGTTTGTAAAATTTCCTATAATTGAAAATTTTTACTTTGCGTTCGCTAATGCGAACTCGACTAGGGATGGCAAAAATCATGATTTAAATCAAAATTTGTGATTTAAAAATGATTTACAAACATTTGATCTTTATTACGTAATTCGTTCAAATTCTGACTTTGAATGCGATTTTTCCATAGAATCTCCGATGCAATATAACATCGTGTTCTAAGGTTATATCTTTTTGCAAAGCATAATAACAAAAGATTTAAATCTGCTTTAAATTGATTTAAAATAAAATCCGTGATTTATATCGTGATTTAAATCACATGCCATATCTACACTCGATGCATCTTTGACGCACTAAACAAGGTAAGCGCTGTTAAAAATCGAAAATAACAACTGCTTAAATCTTACTAAGTATTTTTTTTCTAAATTTATATTTGGTCTTAAATTACGTAGTCATGTATTAAATAATCGCAAAATTATTTAAAACAAAAAAAAAAAAAGGTTTATAATAAAGATGCTCCGTTGTTCCATCTATTTGCCAACACGGTTTTTAAATATATATATTTTTTACCAATTATCTATCGCTATATATTCCGGTTATTAGTTAAGAAAAATGCAAGCAATAACATTTCAGCAACCATTCAAAGTATTAGTAAAAACTGTCCCGTTTCCAAAAATTATACAAGATACTGATGTTATTGTAAAAATTAGTGTTGGTGGATTGTGTGGATCTGATTTACATAGTAAGCTTAAAAAACAAATTTCTTTTTTTAAACGTTAATTTATTAATTTGATTAAAGTTTTAAATTTTTTTTTTTAATTCGATTTTTTATAAACCTATAAAATATATAGTATATAGAGGAAATGAAGTTGGAATTGAAAAAGATACAATAATGGGTCATGAATTTATGGGAATT